CTAGTGGACCAGGTACATAGATCATCGGAGGGTTATAGAAACTACGGGGCAGAGGTTGTCACAAACCAAATTGTCTAGCCACCAAATTAGATTGATAACACAGAAGTGTTACGCCATCATTGGCTCCCACCCTAGATGCAATAAGCTTAGGGGTTAAGAAATCTTACCAAATGGATTTGGATTCAGGGAGCTGCGTAAGATCGACAGGAGGAAATGGTCTAGTGAACCACTCAGGACCACGTTGTCTGGAAAAAAAGGGGCCATACTTGGCTGAAAGGAAGTGAACCTAAAGAAAAAATTTCAAGTATCTCTCGAGCGAATCCTCTCGACTCATATCATTGTTGGATGGTGTCATTGCAGAAAGATGAAGGCTTTTGTTGGTGCGTTGGGAGAATGCAGTTTCTTGAGCCTCAGAGAGGTGCAATTTGAGTTGGATCTCAAAAGTGGCGTTTAACCATAATTGAAGCAGCCAAAAAGGACCAGCAAGTAGATATCTGGAATTAGGAGATAGTGAGGTCATATGGTCGACTCCCAAGCTAAGTGAATCATAGAGTGACCCCAAAATGAGTTTTCTCAGACATATATCTTGACCCATATGAAGGTGGTGAGCTAATTCAATGAACTGTTTAGCTACCTTCAAAGATCGACAGCAAAACACATACTTAGAGAGCCAAAGAGCCAAGAAAGTAATGTGCTCTTCGTCAAAAATGGTGTCGGCGTCTTTGGCATGAAAGCACTTCATGTATTTGTAAAGATAGCATTATCCCTTCCAAAAGGTATGACATTTTCGTCAGCTTCAGTGGGAATAAAAGCTTCACCTTTGGGGCGGAGACCAGTAATGGTCACGACGTTGAAAAGGGTGGGGGTAAGCATACCAGTCGCAAAGTGGAAAGTGCTCGTAGAACCTTCCCAAAAATAGAGTACGGGAATCAACATGTATTTGCAATAACTAGGGCCAACCCTAGAAAGTTGAATTAAGTCAAAAATCCCTTGATCCTTCCAAATGTCACCTTTAACCTTCTCAACTATGTTCAACCATACAAGGCAATCTTGGTTGACAGCAGGAGCAGAACGGAAAACCTTAAAAGTCCGGTAGATGTGTAAAAAATCTATGGGGAAATCTTTGTGAATGGGAGGTTTTGTAGCATGGTGAATGGAGAAACAATTTTCCAGTTGTTTGGGTGCTCTGATTTTATTAAGAATGGGTCCTAAGAGAGCATAAGCAGTTTGCTTACAAATGAAAGGGAGCAACACCTGAGAATGAAAAATTTGAATGTTTCGTGTTGGAGTTGGTTCCAAAACGAAGGTATTCTGGAGATAATCAAAGAATTCATCCATGTTAGAAACTAGTTCAATCTCCTTAGGGGTTTGAATGTGTTCAGTGAGCTGGCTAGAGGTGGCCATGAAGGTGATTAGAAAAGTTTTTGGGTAAAAAACGGAAACAGGAATGTTATCTTTGAGTTTGAAATAAAGATTTTGGAAATGCAAAGAGAGCGTAAAAAGGGAATTAAGGAGATTAGAAGGGTATTTATACCATCAAGGAAACCAAACGTTTGGAAAAAAAGTGGGAAAGATGTGGTTATGTGACCAACACATGTCAAGAAGATGGCGACTATCTGAGGAAGTTGTTGAGTTGGGAGCCATGTTTATCCTAGGAAGTTGAAGCTAGAAAGTAGGGAAGTGGTCGTTTGTGCGCAGACGTGACATTTGAGAGAAAAGTCCTGATTACCATGACGTCAGGTTGCACTAAGAAGGACTAAAATGTCCATTTCTATCTTCCCGGTCGAAAAGGAAATTTTGGGGGGCAATTTGTTGGCTGGGATTTTCGACAAGGACTAAAATTCAACCAAAAGGAAAAGAATCCAAAAGGTTCTTTGGAAAATTATGTGGGTCGACTACAAATGTAGTCGACAAAGAGAGATCTCATAAGTAATTGGGCCTAGAAACAGATGTAGTCGGCCAGGAAAGATCTCATAAGTAGTTGGGTCTAGAAACGTCAAAAGGCCCAAAAGATCCATAACAAGCGAGCAAAGCGTTTTGGAGGGAAAATGGAGAATGTGGGTTCGAGAGTACGAATGGAGAATGTGAGATCATGGGGAGGAGTCACAAGATACACGTGGCGTACAAAAAAGAGAATCTTGCTAAGAAGTAGTTATTTTTGTGTATTATAAATAAAGCACTTAGTGTATATTGTTAGAGGGTCAAACTTTTACATTCCTATACGCTAGTCACTCAAAGTATCTGAAAGAACGAGCGAAACGAGTCAAGCTAGGGCAATGTAAGTTTGAATCAACTTGTTTTCAACTATTTTAATGTTATGTCATTTATGTTTACAATTTAAAACGCTTTTCGTTTATTTTATAAGTTTTGTTTTATTGCTTTCAAATCCTATAAACGCGTTTGATATTGGTCGAATAAATCCTTTTCCAAAACACTTAAAAACTGAAGCATTGTACTGAAATTCTCTAGTCGATCTCGCGAGTAAACTTTTTGATAAGAGACCAGCGTTATTTATCAAAGCCACATGTAAACACCAACTTAACCATATGGATCAAAAAATCCATAACCAAAAGAAGTAAACCAACTTCCCTTTGTCATAACTCACACTTATCCCTAAATTGCTCCAAATGCCCAATCGGGTTCCTTACTTGAACTAGCTCAGGAATTCTCAACCAAGAATAAACTTGCTTCCAAACTAAAGAGCTAACTTGGAAATTGAAGAATAAATTACCAACATCTTCTTCATTTATTAAAACACAAAGGACATATTATATTGTGAATGCCAACGATGATCCCCCGCTTTTACAATTCCACTTTAGATGGCAGTTTGTGAAGCAACATCCTCCAACCAAACATTTGTTCCTTACTTGTTAATTTAGTCTTCCACAGAGTATCCAGAAACCGCAACACTCATTCCTCCATTCCTGCTTCTTCTTGATTCAACGCCCTCAATGTATCATAGTTGTTTTTCATAGAAAACTCGTTACAATGTTTCCACTAAATAAACCCATCTTCAAATTCATACAAGGTTTAACTTCTAGCAATATAAGTTTTAACTGATTATACTCATTGGCAACCTCATCTGATAAATCCCTCCTCCTCACTTTTGCATCCCCTAATCCACTGATCCTCCCTCCGAAAACCTGAAACCCTCACATTGGCATATGTGATAATAGAATAAACGAATAAGTGATGGAACTATTGAAACTTGAAAGAAAGGCATTTGTCCCCACCACTTATGCTTCAAAAATCTAATGGAACCGCCTTTAATTGATTTTAAAAACCAATTACATGTGTCCCCTCCCTTCAGTTCTAGACCTACCACATCCTTCCATTTAAATCACCTCCGCTCTATAAAAACACACGTAAGTTTTTTTTGAACAACACATATTTGTGAGATGTCACATATTTATCTAAAATTTTAAGGTGATAGGTGTGTGGATTATTCCACTTATAAATGTTCAAGTCTCCATATTTTTAAACAATGTGGAATTTCCCCATACTACTCACACTTGTAATTCTTTTTCAACATTCTCCCTCACATATAAGTCTATCCCCAATGTTTCCCCTCAAATGAAAGCTCTTTTATCCACATACACTTGTATCGTTGTTGACATTTTTCAACGGAATACCTCCTACAAGCATTTCGATACAAGTCAACCACTTCACTCGAACTAAAGGCTCTGATAACATTTGTTGGTGCAACAATCTGGGAGAGGGGGAGTCAACGAGGGAGCATCTTTACTTTGGCTTTTGAGTAACACACTTTTGTGAGAGACAATCATATACTCAACCAAAATCTTAAAGTGATAGGTGTGTGGGTTCTCCTGATTATAAATTTAAGAAACTCTTTTCAACAGCAACTTCACAATCTCAAGAATAATTGCTTTAGAAGTTTTGTAAAAAGAGAAGTAAAAAATAGGAATGTTAACCTAGAAAAAGTTATGAGCATAGGAGAACGCTAGGCAAAATAAGGTTTGTATTGTTGTTTCAATTACTTTCTTGTATTAAAAAAAAAAAAGAATATAATAATTTAGATACATAAATATATGAATTTTACATATTTATTTTCTAACGTAGTTAAAATTGAATTTAATCTTTCGATTTAATCGGTTCAACCGACACAAAAAATATGAATTTCGCATATTTTTTCCCTTTTTAAATTAAAATACTAATTGAATTAAATGCAAACTAAACCACAACCATTAAGATTAATGTCTTCTTTTCATTTTATCATTGACATAATCGTTTATCAAAACATCTTTTTTTTTTTTGTATTAGTCAGAGGTATCCTCCGCGTGCAGCTGTAGAGACTAATCTCTTGAGTCTTGTAGGATCATATAGGCGGGTCAGTTTTCTCTCAAGAGATTTAACACTGCTGCAAACGTCTTTAAATAGATACAATTTAAATTATCGCATTGGATCTTAAATTTGTCACACTTACATCTTTAAATACATACAATTTACACTATCGCGTTGAATCTTAAATTTGTCACAGTTAAACTCTGCAGGCAAATAAGATTTCACACCACATTTTCATCAAAGTTAAACCAACTAACTTAGACATGCCTTCAAAAACTTAAAATCTTCATGCCTGTTACTACTATTCTTTTTTTTCAAATTTCAAATTATCAATATTCGTTCTTTTGAAAACTGAATGGTTAATAACAAAAACAAAAAATAAACAGCCAAACATTAATTTGTCAATTATTCTAATAAATATTCGTAGTAAGAATAAGCAAACAAATAGCTATAAACATAGGAAACGATTGTTGTCGATGATAATAAGGGCCGTATGGTATAATCGACCAAGTCAATGTCCTATGTTTTACAAACTTTATTTTCATTGAGACCACTAATTTAACCTTATACATTTTTGTTTCCTTAATTTATGAGTTTTAAACATTCAAATAAACATAGATTTTGTCATTTGTTATTAGAGATGTTCTGTCCAGCACATATATGACCCGTGATGCTAAAATAAATGTTAAGGCACAGAAATGAGCAAAAATAATTCTACTATCACAAGTAACTATGCTTCTGTATTTTTCTTTCTTCTCTATTTTGTAACCATACTTGACATGAACATAGCTAATGAGGTTGTGCCAACGTTATACATATTTGGTGACTCAACATTTGATGTTGGAACCAACAATTATCTTAACTCTAGAACAAAAGCAAACAGCCCTTATTATGGGATTGATTTCCATAACTCATTTCCCACAGGAAGATATAGCAACGGTCTCAACGTTGCTGACCAAATTGGTAAATACATTTACACAATTTTTGATGAATTTTTGTATATTTATGCATTTTTATTGATTTTTGTTTTGTTCAAACTAGCTAGACGATTTGGTTACAAGAAAAGTCCACCATCGTTTTTGGATTTGGAGAAACTTCAATACAGTTTCAAACACAATATTATGTTAGGTGTGAATTTTGCATCAGGTGGATCAGGAATTCTTAGATATACAGGCTACAAAAAATGGGTATGTAACTTTATAAATTTTTATTGCTCTATTATTATTATTATTACATGAAATGAAACATAAACATGAAATAATATTAATCTTTGTAGGGAGAAGTGATTTTCCTTGAAAAGCAGGTGCAACAATTTTCATTAGTGAGTGAAAATATCACTAAGATATTAGGGCTAGCAGAAGCAAATAGTTTTGTTTCAAAGGCTTTGTTTCTCATTAGCATTGGTAGCAGTGACATCTTCGATTACGAACGAAATGAAAGTGGAGTATTTCATTTAGGCAAGGAAGAAAATTTAGCTCTTCTACAACTAAACTACTACACTTATATAAAGGTAAAGTAGATAATTTTCTATAACTTTTTGCGCAAAGTTTTTATAGCTTAGATTGATTGAATTATTGAGATGATATTGCAACCTGCAGAAACTATATGAATTAGGGGCTCGAAAATTTGGGATATTAAGTGTTCCACCTATAGGGTGTTATCCTGCAGTAACTTCTATCAATGGAGGGAATTGTGTGAAGCCGTTAAATTATTTTGTTGTTGCATTCTATAAAGCAACTCAAACTCTTCTGCAAAAGCTAAGCTTCGAGTTGGAAGGATTCGAGTATTCACTTGGCAACACTTATGCAATGTTCAAAACTATGTTAAAAGATCCATTGGCCTTTGGTAAGCAATAAAATAACACTACAACATTTAAATGATTGAAATTTGAATAATCTTAACCATAATGTTGTAGGGTTGAACGATACAAAATCGGCATGTTGTGGAATTGGAAAGTTGAATGGAGAGGGACCATGTTTGAAAGGCTTGAAAGAAAATCATTGTGGATTTGGAATGTTGAATGAAGATGATTTGCTAGTGAAATCCTTGAATAACAAACTTTGGGGAATAAGAAAGTTCTATAGAGAGGATCCTTGCATAAAAACTTTGAATATTAGTCTTTGTGTGAATCATGATGATCACTTATTTTGGGATTGGTTGCATATCACTGAGAGAGCTTCGGAGGTGATAGCTAAAATGGTATTTGAGGGAGGGGATAAGTTTGTATTTCCAAAGAGTTTAAGTCAATTAGTTTCTTGATTTGAAATTAACATTGTTCTTGTTAGATGTTATGAATATTTAAAGAAATAATCAAGTCAAAATGACACAGTAGTGTTTAAACAAGAATTTTTTTTTTAAATAATCATTTTTAAAAAAAAAATTTCCCAAATAACCAATTTTTAAAAAATTTTACCAAAATGACCACTTTTCAAATAAAAAAATTTCGCCACACAGAGGAGTAGCCACTCTGCGTGGCACATGCATGCATTTTTAAGAGGAGGCGCCACACTGCATGGCTTGTCCTCCTTTGTAAAGCCATGCAGTGTGGCGCATGCATGTGTTTTTAGAGAGGGGGTGCCACCCTCCTTGACTTGACAGTGTTATTGCATAATTTTTTTAGATAAAATAAAAGCACTACGTCAAAATTGACTTTTGGCATCACCAAAAAGACAACGCTTTAATGAGAAAACGCTGTTTTAGGTCTTTTAAAAAATTCGCTAAAAAAAAGCGCTGCTACATACAGCCTTTAGAAAGCGCTTTAAAAAGCGTTGCTAAATGCCCTACCTTAGAAAGCGCTTTAATGAGAAAACGCTGTTATAGGTCTTTTAAAAAATTCGCTAAAAAAATGCTGCTACAGACAACCTTTAGAAAGCGCTTTTAAAAAGCATTGCTAAAGGCCTTAAATTCGTCCCACTTAAGAAAGCGCTTTCTCGTGAAAGCGCTGCTAGATCTTGTATGATAGAAAGCGCTTTTAAAAGGTGCTGACTTAGGTCAAATTATAAAATTAAAATATAAAATTTCCCCACTTAAGAAAGTGCTTTCTCATGAAAGCGCTGCTAGATCTTGTATGATAGAAAGCGCTTTTAAAAAGCGCTGTCTTAGGTCAAATTATAAAATTTTCAGAACCCTATTCATTCATTTCTAATTGTTGTCTTCTTCTTCGCGACTGTTTCTTCTCCGGCCGATTCTTCTCCGACCATTCCTAATCGTTTCTTCTCTGACTGTTTCTTCTCTGACGAAAACGAAAAAGTTATAACATTGTTCTTGCTGACGAAAACGAAGAAGTTGCTTGACGAAAACGAAGAAGTTGTTGACCGCCGTAGACCGTCGTAGTTCAGGTACGTCATTCTTATCGTTGTAACATTGTTCTTGTTGTACGTTGTAGCTGTTTTCTACATTGTTGTTGTTATTGTTCTTATTTTCTACATTGTTCTTGTTGTTGTTCTTGCTGTTAAGAAGTTTTTGTTAAGAAGTTTGTTAAGAAGTTGTTATTGTCCAAACCTCTTTTCGATGTTTTCATCTTTCAACTTAGAGAGCATACTGTGTCTATTTTAGAAGTTGGACAGTATACTGTGTCTTATAATACTTGTAAGATTGAATTGTCCATCCTTGTATATGGCCACATGAGCAATGAATAAGGTTTTGGAATCGTTAGGCTAATAAATATGATGGTTGAAATTTTGGATAGCAGCGGTACATGAAAATCGATTCTTGAACTATATTTAGTCTATTTTAGTTATTCCTTTCACAATTTCATATGACATGTATGAACCATACTTTGTAGTTTCTTTATTTTCATGTCAATAATGTCTTTGTTATTGTTAGCAGCTGTTTTTTTCTAAAAACTCAAATGATACAACTTGAGCAGTAGAATTAGTTCTTAGAGATAAGAAATGCTACTGTTACTCTAATTTTGGTTAATCGAAAGAAATACTAATAGCTTTAATAATACCAACTCCATTAAATAGAACCTATTCATTTCCACCAATATGTCACATGTTTGTTTCAAATCCGTTATAAGTCTTACACTTTCTTGAGAGAAGACGAAAATATGTATGAATAAAAACTAAATTTTCAGCTTTCCTTGCATGAGCTTATTCCTTAAGTCCTTATATGCTTCATTAGCAGCTAAAACTACAATTTTTAGGGGTTCGGATAACAATCTGAGGAAATAAAATTGCATTTTTTAGGGTGTTGCGTACCAGTGCGTAGATTCTGGTACTTTGTCGATACTTCATCGTTAAATCATTATTTTTAAACCAGACTGGAGATTAAATGGCAGGACTTCAGGGTCATTCTCATTGATCTACTCATATGATTGAACAATGACAGAATAAACACGGGAAAAAATCACGCAATAATTAATCGTTGAAACAACTGAAATTCAACTAGTTTAATTTTAATTCTATTTAATCTTTGAGTAATTAGGAGATTTCGCTTGTTAATCATATTTCAAGTTTTCTATTGTAAAAACTAAATAGAGAAGAGGCTATCACATTGCAAGAACTTGAATATTCATTATTCTTTTATTAATCAAACCAAATTCTCATTTCAACCCATCAACACAAATGTGATGAATTTTGAACTACATGGTATTTTATTTTCTATACAGAAGTTCTCATTCTTCTTTAGGCCGTTCCATCACTTGCAGAAGCTGTCCTCTTAATGATGAACAAACCTGTCAAATAAAAGAAAAAAAATTTTAAAAAACCATTTGAATGAACTGTTGTGATGGATGAGCATTTCATTTTTTTATATTTGTAATTTCATTTTTATTTTTTCTTTATTACAGGTCAATGGCTAGTAATCAAGAAAACTCACAAGATACAAATGCTCCAGATAAGACATCGGAGGGTGAAATTACACGAGGCATCACTATTATGAGAAAAATCGTTCTTGATAGAGATAAAGGAGTAAAATATGATGTACATTGGAATGATGAAGACTAACTAATTGATCTTAATGGTGCAAAGTTGACAAGCTACATTGATACGCTTGCTTTTATGCACGTTCCAATCACCTTTGATAAATGGACTAATAAATATTTGGATTCCTACAAAGACAAAATTTGGACTGATATACAGGTACCATATAATTTTTCTTTAAAGTATAATGTTTTTGTTATTTTAGTCCCTAACTAAGTAAGGCTTGGGAATGTCTTATATGTATGCTTAATATATGTTCCCTTAATCAAGATCACATGGTAATGTCTTTAAATTACTTATACTAACACACTATAATGCGTATGTTTTTTCGTAGAGGTCTTTTAACATTGAAGATAACCGAAAAAAGTATTGTCTTCAAGTGGCCAGAAAAAGACACAGAGGGTGGAGAACTTTTTTAACAAACAAATTTCTTAAGGATGAGCAAGGAAATCTTGTTAAAGCGGATCGTCCAATAAAGTATAGCAACTTCATTGGACCCAAAGAATGGGATGAATTTGTATCCAAACAAATAGAAAATGAGAAATTCAAGAAAGTGAGTGACACAAATCGCGAGAGAGCATCAACACCCACGTATCCATACAGAAAAGGGTGTTTGGGATATGCACGCTTACAGCAAAAAATTGTAAGTATATATAAATGCAACGATCTTATTAATTGTCTCAATATGTTATAATTGATGATCTTATGATTTGTGTTAATGTGTAGTTAGAGGAGACGAAAAGTGATGAAACATCACTTTCAACGCATGTTTTGTGGAAGGAAGCTCGTGTGGGCAAGGATGAAGTTGTTAGGGAAGATGTTCAACATATTTATGATGAATGTGTAAGTATAACATTGTGTCTTTAAGTAAATCAAAAGTTTATTAGTATATACTTAATTTTTATCTCCACTAATAATTTTATATATATATGTAAATGAATTTCAGGAGACTTTATCTCAATCGGTAACCACAGATGAGGACCAGGATAATTGGAGCATACTTAGTCGTGCACTAAATGTTGCTGAGTATCCTGGTCGGGTGAGGGGTAAAGGACATGGTGTGACTCCATATTCCTTGTATAAGCATCCAAGGAAAATAAATCCTAGCAATCAAGAAGTGATGCAAACGTTGGAGGAATTAAAGGCGCAAGTCCGTGAATTGCAACAGGATATAGAGAGATATATGGCGCAAAAGTGCAGTTCAGAGGCGAAAGAAACTAGTGACAAAGCTAGTATCAATTGTCAAAATAAATGTCCCGAGGTAATTATATATGTTATTATGAAATTAAACTAGAAAATTTATTTTAATTGACATATATACACATTAACAGTAATATATTTATTATTGGTTTAGGGTATTTCATCTTGTCAGCTATACTTATCGTCACCAACTTATCGCTTAGTTGGCAAGGGAAAAGTGCATAACACATTGGAAGATTTACTTCACCATAGACCGCTCCCTGATGGACATTTGAAAGTATCGATTGATGTTGTATAGATCTGGATGCGTTGCTACCGGTACCTGACAATATTTTAGAGACAACATTGCTACGAGATGCAATAGGATCATTTGTTGCATGGCCGTCGAACCTCATTTTCATAGATGATGAGGTATGTTGAAAACCATTATGAATCTTTTAGTATTCAAGTTTCAATTCTGAACCATTACGTACATTTTTATTACATGTTAATTTCAGACTCCTACAAAACCCGCATCTAAGGATAAAGAGATTTTGCGGCACAGCGAGTCTATTGCATCACAAAAAGAGGTACATTTAAAGTGTTAATTATATGATCCAAATTCAAAAACTGCATGATTTTATAATTTACCTAAGTTGTATGATTTTGAGGTACCTGCTCAACGGTCACAACAAGTGAGCCATAAATTTAGTAGCGTACCCAACAAGAAAAATGATCTTCCAAGAACCGGGGCAAGAAAACCTTTTGTACCTCGATTCTGGATGTGTCTTGAAACACTTGTGGGAACATCAGATTTGATGAATGGTGTTATTCGTCAAATGGATATGGAGGAAGGTATATTTGGTTTTTTCTTAATTCGAAACAATTGCAAAAGAGGAAATGGAACAAATTTTACAGCATACAGAATTAGGCATCGGTGTTGTACACTCATACATCTGGTAATGCGATCAATCTATCATTTAATTAGTCGAACAATTTATTTACACATTTCAATGAAAATAGTCTAATGTTTATTATTTTTTTTATTTAAGGTTCTTGTATGAAAAATTGATGCACGTGAATCAATTGTCAAACAGATTTCATTTCGTGTCTGCCTCCAGTGTCAATGGAGCGTCAATTGTTCAGGATCCAGAT